GGGCTGCAGCTGGGAATACAAGCCAGATGCTGGGCTGGACTGAACTTTCATATGGAGCAGAAATTCTGGGCAGTGGCCTTAATTCTGGCCCTGCTGAAGACAAAACAGGTCTTCTTGCATGGTGGGACGGACAGAGATGGGACCTTGGAGGGGAACCCCTTAATTTTACATCATCAATAAAGCTTTTCATGAAACCCCATCCTCTCGTGGGGGCCTCAGGAAATTCTTTTCCTCAAGGCACCCCAAGAACTCCATTTTGCACCAATAACAATATCAACACTGACACAGCAAAGAAAAAGGACAATTTCATCACCACAAGGATCCCTCCTGTTGTCCCATTATAGTCACATCTATTCCCTCTTAAGTCCTGGCAACCACCAATCTGTTATTCTGTTCTCTCTAGAACAGAGGTTCACTATAGCAGTGGTTCTCAACCTTTGGCGGTCGAACAACCCTTTCACAGGGGTCACCTAAGACCATCCTGCATATCAGATATTTACATGACGATTCATAACAGTAGCAACATCACAGTTATGAAGTAGCAACGAAAATTTTATGGTTGGGTCACAACATGAGGAACTGTATTTAAAGGGCCAGAAGGTTGAGAACCACTGCGTATATTGTCACTCTCACTTCATTTTAAAAATTATTTTATAATCTGCTTTCTGTCTCTCTGGCTTTGCCTGTTGTGGACATTTCACATCAATGGGTTCACACACCGTGTGGCCTTTTGTGTCTGGCATCTCTCACGGAGCATCATGTTTTCAAGGTCCATCCATGTTGTAGTGAGTGTCAGCACTTCACTCCTTTTCATGGCTGAATAGTATTCCAGTGCAGGGATGGGCCACACTGTGTTGACCCATTCATATTTTGATGGCCACCTGGGTTGTTCCTAGTTGGGGGAGAGGGGAATGGGGAGTGACTGCCTAATAGGGATGGGTTTCTCTTTGGGGTGATAAATGTCTTGGGACTGGGTAGTAGTGGTATTTGTACAACATTGTGAATATGCCAAATACCACCGAATAGCACACTTTATGGTAAAAACAATGATTTTTATGTAATGTGACTTTTACCTCAATTTAAAAAAAAAGGACTTTATAATATTTCATACCATGGCTTTACCATTGATCAAATGTGTCCCAAATTCATGGACGTGTGGGTCCTTCTAGCTTTCAGACAATTGCATTAAATACACGTTCACACATCTTTGTGCCCAGGTGTACCTGTAGATGTATTGCCTTTCAGGTGCCTGTAGAATTTGATTTTCCTCCCTCTAGCCTTGGAGATTGCCCCACGTTTATTCCCACCCTGGTGGCGGGTCATGGAGTGGCAGCCTCAGACCACTCTTGGGAGCATGACCCACAAGGACAACAGCCCTTCCAGTGCCTTACCCTCTGCAAATCTTCTCCCCCAGGTTGCTGACATTCAAGGCCTTTGCCCAGCTCTTCATCTTGGGGTGCTCCTGGGTGCTGGGCATTTTCCAGGTAGGACCCATAGCCAGTGTCATGGCCTACCTGTTCACCATCATCAACAGCCTGCAGGGAGCCTTCATCTTCCTCATTCACTGTCTGCTCAGCCGCCAGGTATGTAGCTGCTGCCCTCCCTGTCCCTGACTTCCCCTTTCCAGGGGACATGCCTCTGGAGCACACTTCCTGCACCTGGGAGTGACTCATCACCCCATGTCTGTCTCCAACTCCAGGTACGGGAGGCATACTGGAGATGGATCACCAGGAAGGCCAAACCCAGCTCCCAGTCCCAGACCTCAGGGGTCATACTGTCATCCATCGCCTCCACTTCCAAAGCGGTGAGAGACTGGGTGTTTGATGGAGGTTCTGTTGAAGGGCACGCCTGCTTCTTAGCAACACTAGACACTGCTGTGCGTTAGTACCTACCGTGAGCTAAGTGTGTCCACGTGGATTAGTCCACTGGTGAAACGTGAGGTTTAGGTGCCAGGCTGCCTGGGTTCAAATCTTAGCTTTACCTCTTAGTAGTTATGTGACCTAACCAAGATAAAATCGTGAGTCATATAGTTATAAAATGAGCTTATGTTAAGGATCTTAATTCTACTCACTAATCCAGCGGTTCTCAACCTGTGGGTCGTGACCCCTTTGGGGGTCGTCAAACGACCCTTTCACAGGAGTCGCCTAGGACCATCGGAAAACACATGTATAATTACATATTGTTTTTGTGATTAATCACTATGCTTTAATTATGTTCAATTTGTAACAATGAAAACATATCCTGCA